CTGTGGCATGGCACAAAGGATGAGAGATTACTCAGAGTCAATGTCCAATTCAAACTCCAAGAAGGCCCAGAGGGACTGCCTTTAACCAAGACCCCTCTGAGTGAAAGAGTGTCATAAAGATAGCCCCAAGCTAAAGCTTCTGTAGTTTTTTATTGATAAAACCAAGAAGGACAGGGGAAAGTTACATGATTGACCTTATGACCAATCTAAGTAATAAATCAGAGTATGGGTAGGACTAGGGCCAGAGCATTCATTCCTTAAGGCAGTGTGTTTTGGTCCTACTTGGACTTGTGGCCCTTTATGCTATCTTTTTCATCTCTAATCACGCATTCCAGGAGGCATGGGGCCTGTGGCTCCAAAAGTTTCTTACCTCTGCATATCCATTTTATACAGACCTCTGGTCAACACTCCCACACCTGTGAATTTCACTGCTGTGTAAACATATTTTTTACTCAGTCTTTCTCTGTGAATATGGATCTCTTCTATACTCACTCATTTTCTTTATTTTACTCTACCTATTACGGCTCCATTTCTTGGAGAATTTCTCTCCCAAGAACAGGGCAGTTTCATGGACATTCAATCTTTACAGTTGCGTAGAACTCTTGTTCAGACTTCTATAGTTAGTTTGCTGTTACAAAATTCTTAAGAATTTTATCTATTTTTTCCAACTGCAACCATGGAGGATGTCTAAGAGAAGAAAAAGAAGGTTTTTACTCTTCCAGAAACCCTTAAGAAAAAGTGAAGACATTTCACAGAGCTGAAGGTAAAGCACCTGAGAAAGAAGTTTGCCCAAAAGATGCTTTGAAAGACAAGGAGGAAGGTCTTCTATGAAAAATCCAGGAACTATCATAACAAATATAGACAGATGTACAGAACTGAGATTGGAATGGCTAGGATGACAAGGAAAGCTGGAAACTTCTAAGTATTTGCAGAACCCAAATTGGCATTTGGCTTCTGGATCAGGGGTATCAATGGTGTGAGCCCAAAGGTCAGCAAGGTGTTGCAGCTGTTTTGCTTTCTCTAAATCTTCAATGGTACCTTTGTTAAGCTTAATAAGGTTTCGATTAACATGCTGAAAATTGTTGAACCATATATTGCATGGGGGTACCCAAACCTGAAGTCAGTAAATGAACTAATATACAAGCGTGGCTATGGCAAAATCAATAAGAAGCAAATTGCCTTAACAGATAATTCATTGATTGCTTGGTCTCTTGGTAAATATGGCACTATCTGCATGGAGGAGCTGATTCATGAGATCAATACTGTTGAAAAATGCTATAAAGAGGCAAATAACTTCATGTGGCCCTTCATATTATCTTCTCCATGAGCTGGAATGAAGAAAAAGACCACCCATTTTGTAGAAGGCGGAAATGCTGGAAACAGGAAGACCAGTTCAATGGGCTTATCAGAAGGATGAACTAAGGTATCTACCATGGTGCTTTTATGATTTGGTCAGTTAATAAAGTTTATTCTTCCAAAAAGAAAAAAAAAGAAAATTTTATCTTTGACCCTGTGTTCTGTAAATGAAGCCTAAGGCAACAATCTAGCATGCACATGAGCAGAAGAAGTATGTGCAATATGCATTTTCATGGTCTTTGCCACAAATTCAAATATAATGTTTACAATGCCCCCTTGAACACAGAGTACCAGTGGCCCTATGATTCACAACACCAAGTGAGTGAAAGACAAAAGTGTTAGGTTTGTGCCTAACACTGACACTGGACACTGACAGCCCCAAAAGGCCACATGTTCTGGGAACCATAACTGCTATAGAAAGAAGAAAATGTCTGAAGAACCCTATCATACTTACCTTCTTATCTTACATCCTTGTATCAGCAAATTATATTGAACTGTATAGCCCAAAAGCAGAGAAAAGGACAAGGCAACCAACCCATATTTCATTTTTTCAATCCTTAACTCATCAGTAAACTGAAGGCAGAGTGTTAGTAGAATATGCGCATATCAAAATGTGAGATAAAAAGAGTTGAGTTAGTTTGTGTACTGTTTCTACTGTCCTGGTAAGAATGAAGTACATGTTCATATCAGAGCCACAAAATAAAAACTGTATAATTTTAGTGATCTCACTTATGTTTTGCATTTATAACTATCATCACACAATATCAATAGGGAGGGTAAAATTAATACCAGTAATTAAAATTTCATATTTTCATTATTAGAAGGACATTAAATAGTAAATAAAAACAATGTGACAAGTTGAGGTGACCCTGGAAGAAGATAACTTTATGTTTTAGGATCTTTAATTATTTTATTTTGTTTTGTTTGAAAAGAGAGTTATTGTATTTTAATTTTGCACTGAGCCCTATAAATTATATAGCTAGCTCGGATGAAGAATTTTAGTGTGCCTTTCTCTTTCATGTGCTGCTGGAGATCAATCCCATGTCTTATGCATGTTAGACAAGCACTCTACCAACTGAGTTATATCTCCACCCTGTGTACCTCATTCTTACTAACCATGGTAACAAGCAATACATCAAGACTGGTAATATTCCTGACTTAAGGAAAAGGAAGGTAGCATTGGTGGCTCTTTGAAAACTCCTTGAGGTTTTTATATGCATTGTCTGGAACTTTTAAGTAAAACTCATTCTTTACTGAACAAGAATAATTATGCATGCTTCTTTAATGGTATTGCATTATTTGATCAGAAGGATTATATTTTTAATGGTCTTTTCTGAAAGCATATAGTACTTCAGTTGTTCTATAGGTTACATAGATTTTGACTGGCCCACATAAAACCCACGATGGCCATGTGTTTTCTGGGCTGGACTGGGAAACTGACTATCATTTCAGTGACTAGGAAATATGTTTTAGGGGCCCAATAACTAATTTAAAAACTACGTCTTGTTCCTTTTTGTAGCCAGTTTGTAAATAAAGAGCTATTTCATTTTAGTTTATATTTTCGTACAGTTTCAACTATGATATTTGAGATACTGAATTTGCTTCATGATGGAAAATTTGTTAACATGTATTTAGTCAGTTTTGAGAGTTCAGTATGTAGTTTCCCTTGGTTTGGTCCTAAAAATTAGTTAGGAAGAGATAATACAAATGCAAAGGAAGCAGATACACAGGGAAAAAAAAGGTTCTAATTTTGTACAAAAATTCAGATGTTTCTACTCATGTTCTTGCTTCTATAATTACTATAAAAGATACTTAATATTATTTTGTTATTTTTAGTCAGCCATCTCCTAAAGCACCCCAAAGAGTAGATTTCCTATAATATTATCCTATGTGAATAGAAAAAAGGGCATAGATGCTATTTATCTACAAGAACTTTATTTGACTTGTCAGTAAAAGATTGTAATTTAAAAATAAAATAATATAGGAAAATGTAAAAGAATTCTCTCTGATCTCTGTTAACCTTTGTCATTTGTAATGATTATTCCTCAGTTAATTAAATACATTTTTTTCCATGATTTGAATGCAAAATATAACTGGCGATGGTAGCAATAGAAAAACTATTAGATTTTTAGGCCACAAACTCAATATGAACAAGCTTTGCTTCTGGAATTATATTCTGGGTATCCTTTTTTTTTCTTTTTAAAATCATATTTTATTTTTATGTCTCCCTACCACATAAGAGAAATAGCTTACAAGAGGATGAATATGTTTTATTTAAATCCCAGTTTTGATTAAAATGACATTAGATTTTAACAAATAACCATTATTACATTTGCAATAATTTGCAAACCCCTTACTAAAATATTTTCTAACATGTTTTGATTACAGTACATGTATTTTTCTTTTCTTTCCTTCTTTTTTCCCTTTTCTTTTCTTTTTTAGCCAAAGAAGAGACTGTCAGGTTCTAAGTCAAAAAGGAAACCAGGATATCATTCATCTTATTGAAACTGTGGTGCTTATTGTTAAAATTGTCCCTGATTGCAACTGTCATCTAATTTCATTGGATTTCAAGAATGATAGCTTATTTTATATTTATAAAGACTTTCTCCTCTCAGAAAACAACTGATTGAGCTTATTTTCCAGGTTAATAACGCTTATTAAAAAGTGTCTTTGTGTGTATCTTACAAAAGCAGCCTTAAGGCAGACTTAAATTAATCTCATTGTTAATGCTTATATTGAGAAAATATGAGGAAACACTAAATGTTCAGAAATAATATTTTCTGACATGTCCAGTGTGGAGACTATTCCACTGTCTTACAGCATCAACAAAACCAGAAAAGTGGGCTCTGAATGTTAACACATTTTTCAAAAACCATTATTTCATTGGATCCTCACACTAAACAGGCCTGTGAGATAAAAATGAAATCCTCAGATTAACCCTGATATCACCAGCACCTCGCTTCTCACCCTCTCTCCTCCAGTCTTTAAACCACAGACATTGCCACAAGTCAGAATGACCTCAGATGCTTTTTTAAATTTAAGAAGTTCTAAGTAGGAGGGTGTGTAGGGATCCTTCAGTCCCTTTAATAGCTAAAAGTCTTGCTTTTTCCTAGAAGTGCAGCAAATGCCTAACAGGGAATCCTAAGGAGACGCCATGGTTTCTTATCTTCTCTAAGCCTAGCAAGAGCCCCCCAAGGAACCTGCTTTTGTCAACTACACGGAGTCTAATCAACCACAAACTGGTTACTCTCTTCCACCTCTACTATGGGTCTCAAATTACTTGTCTGCAAAGTCAGAAACTTGAACAAAATTTTCTTTGGCTTTCCCTTACCTGACTTGAGAGGGAAAGATTGCCTGAATCAGGCAACAGTAAGCCAACAGTCCTCTAAACTGCGGCCTGGAAGAAGCATATTTCCTGGGTTTAAAGTGGGGGCCAACATCTGAAAGCAAGGCCCTGGGGGCCGTAAGCAGAGCAGCTTGGATCCAGGGTCAGAAACTTAGTCTGAGCTGCGTTTCCTGTAATTCCCCTTCCGGAAGCGTCGCCGGCTCCGGGAGTAGAGCACCCGCCACGACCCCTCTCACCAGCCCTTCGCGTTCAGTGGACTACATTCCCCAGAACACCCCGCAACGACCCTCGCAGAGCACCAGTAGGCGCCACTGACGTCATCAGCCGGCGCGCAGTTTAGACTCCACTGATGTCGTGGCGCTTTGGGGCAAGAAGTTGGTGCTGCACTGGGCCCTGGGGCTGAAGACGCGGTTTGAGCGATCCCTGACCCTTTTCTACCCGGTCCCCTCTTGTCTGTCATTTCTCTCACTCCTCTGTCGGGATGAGGCGTGCAGGCCTGGGTAAGAAGAGAGCTGAGTTTCGAAGTTTGGGGACCCTAGCACCGGCCGTGTCACTGGCGTTGGGGCCGTAAAGCGGGAGGTCAGGAGGGGATCTTTGGAGGCGGTGCGAAGTGGAAATACATCATTTGTCCCAGTACGGGAGTTTCCTTAAGTTTGATTCAGACTCAAGTTTAGACGATCAGTTAGAGTGGTGGAAAACTAGGAGTGCGGTGTGTGCAGCTGCCACCTCCGTAATCGAGGTGTGTGTAAGGGATTGACTGTCTGAGCTGTGGTTATGGAAAGTACTATGTTTCCCTCAGCCCAGCTTTAATTTCTCTTTCTCTACTGATCGTGGCTGGATCTTAGTTTCTTTAGAAGCGACATTGGAAGAATGGGTTTTGCCTGGTAACCATTACTAATGATTGCTACTGGTAACAGGGAGTTACAAAGGTAAACGTATGTGTCATTATTGGTAATAAAGCCCTGGTGTATAAGGTTGGGATCAAAGGCGATTTTCCCTAGACCATCTCTTCTCTAAACCTTGTTCCACTGGTGACGCAGACTATAGTAAGAATTAATGACTTAATATGTGTTCTTGATTTTTTGGGGTTAGGAAGCTGGCATTCTATGCAGCAAGAATAAATTAGGCCCCGGACGATTTAATAGACCCTTATAATAACACACAGATGTTAGAATAGCATTTTCTGGTTCTGAAACTATTAAGAGATGGTTTAAAAAGAAGAAAATTGCTCAAAGTGCAGTATACTTAAGTAAATGTATGAAACATTTGAACAAAGATATTTCTATTATCAGTCATTGTAACATGGAAAAGGGAAAAAAGTACTTCAAAAGTGTTAGATATTTAAAGTCAGTGAAAGTTTCCAGTAAATATAGACTTATATGTTGATTAATACATCATAGTATGACAACAGGTTTTTTAAATGTAGTTTTTCTGTGAAAATTTGCATCATAGAAACAATGCGGGGTCAGTAAATTGAAGATGAAGAAAAAGTAATTTCAAACAAGATTAGTTTCACATGCCTAAGTGTTTTTCTTAACAGCAAACATTTATTGTATCTTTGAATAAATTCTGTCTGTGTTGTCAGTTGTCTCCCTGTTTGTACTCGCCAAACTTCTAGTCTAACTGAAGAATAGGAATATATGCAAAGGTGAATTATGATACAAGATGTTAGCTATACATCTACAAGTACCAAGTAAGTTCTACAGAGTGAAAGTCTCAGATTTGAGAGATAGATCACAGTATACTTTGTGGAGATGTTGGGATTCTAACTAGACCTCAAATAATGGAGAGTTGGAGAAGTAAGTTCCAGATGGGATGATGCCCAAAGGAAAAGAGATATGGAACTAGAATTAAGGAATGCTGTGTTCAAGATATTATGAGTAAGTCAATTTCATTGAAGTACAAAGCATGAGAAGACCTAGCTGTGGAGATCTTTGCCTGCCAGGCCATGGCGTTTACATGCTATCAATAGGCCATTGGCCTATTTGAAAATTATTGTGCTACATTGTGCTTTGTTAAATTCCAGGAAAGAGAATTGAGAAGAGGTGATTTCCAGCCCTGAGTGTGTATTAGAATTATCTAGGAAGCTTTAAAAGTATAACCTGGATCCCAGCTCAGATCAACCAAATTAGAATATCTAGGATAGCGCTCTCCCACCTTTTGAAAAGTTTCCCTGTTAAAATGTGATTACTTATGTAAATGTTGCTATAATTTACATTGGTGTAAAGTATTTTTTAAGTATCAGTGTATATTGATCTGGAATTTTAAATTTGAAATAACAGTGAATCTGATAGATCCTCATGTGTAGACGCTGTCACACTTCACATGCATTGCCACATGATTTGGTTCAGTTATTGTTAGAATTTACGCAAAAGAAGCAGCATTTGTCTAAATTGACAAAGGCTGAAGATGATCTTCAGTCCTCATTAGCTTTTCTACAACTCTTCTTAACAGTATTTCACACAAAAAGTAATAGATGAGTTGGAATAGTAACTCTGTCTCTTTATTTTTCTTTATATCGGGGGTGGGTGACAGTTTAAGTGAAGATCATATCTTAGAAATGTGCATTGGAAGATTTCTATAAATGAGAATTTCACTTCAGAAATGGAACAGTATGGAAGAATTCTAAAATTAAGATAGACAAAAGGAGCAAAAGAAAAGAAATAAACCAGAAAATCATTGATGAAATTGTCGAGTGATTAAATTCATCATCAGTAATTACTTTTTGGGCAAATGTTAATATACGTGGCTTCTTAGTCACATAAAATAAGTAGAATACATTGTTCTTTAAGGGCCTTGGGCCATATTAATGTAGAGTTTACACAAGGTAGTACTGGTTAATAGATTGAGAATTCATTTATTTTATTTTTTGTTAGTACATGTTTGCAGTACATAATGATTACATTCACCATGGGAGATGTGTACATGTACATAACACACACCCATGTTTATAGCAGCACAATTTATAATAGCTAAAACTTGGAAAGAGTGCATATGCCCATCAACAGAGACTTCATTTTTAAGTGATGATTTTTTTCTTTTTGGTACCGTGGATTAAACACAGGACCTTGCGCTTGCGAGGCAGGCGGTGGAACCACTGAGCTAAATCCCCGGCCCTTTAAATGATGATTTTAATTATTAAGTGGGGAAAAATTAGTGTGCCCAATCTTTGAGTTCCTAATTTTTTTAATAACACATTTTGAATACTTAAGAGATAGTATGGCAGCAGTTGAAGAAAAATTTGAGTAAGCAGCTCCTCTGTTTGGGATGTACTTGCTCAAGATTTTGTGGTGGTAGAAATTGGATAGGTTAGATGTCTGATGCATATAAAGTGCATATTCGGTATGGGGGAGATAAAACTATGACGCACTGTTTCTGTACTCAGAAGCATTACATTCTTGACAAAGGTGAATAACAGTAAATTCAAATTCTGTTCTTTATTGAGTTTATTTACATATTTACATACATTCACTGAGTGTGCCTTACTCTTTGTGTGCATGTGTGTGTGTTTATGGAGATATATAGCGATGAGTGAACTGAACTTACTGTCTGCCCTACTAGTACAGTCTAGAGAGCAATAGTAGTGGTATAGTCAAAACTATAGGAATTTAGGAGATTTGCTTCTTAGAGAAAATGAAATTTGTACTGTGCTTTGAGAGAGCTTCCTGTTCACACCTTGATCATCCTGCAACCATCAGCGCTGACTGCCACACCCTGTCTTTCCAGCTCTTATTGTCACTACTCTTCCATCTTGTCTTTGGCTTATGAATGACTTATTTTAACATTATTCCTTTCCCCTATCTTCATAGTGAACCATTGTATCTGTTTCAAACCCTGTACCCCATAATCCATATCTTCAACCACTTTTTTTTGTCAAGCATTCTCAACTTTTGGGGGTTCTGTTCTTTGGCACCCTAACACTATAAACCTCTAACTATAGTTCACTGGAACAGTGGGGCTTTTCAGAGGCTAAATGACACCAGTGAGCGCTTCTGTAGAAAGAGCACACATCTGGCAGGATTGAAGCCACCACAATATATTGCAGGAGCCAAGTTTGTTTTATCCTCCTATTCATTCTGAGCAATCCTGTCACTTTTCTTATCCTTCTTACTATTCCAGGTGATCCCCATTCTTTAGCAGATAGTTCCTTTGCTTCCTGTGAACATTGATGACATCAATTACAGGGTGATGTATTTTCAGTGCCATCTACTAGAAGATAAGCTCCATGAAAGTAGCCCCTGGAAAGAATAATGGATGTAATACATGGTAGTTCCTCAATTATTTGTTGAAGAAAGAATAACACTCCACGAACTCTCAGCTAACATTCTCCATAAGAGACTCCTCATCTGTCTCCTAGGGCTTTAACTTGTGTCCTCACTTCCCCTTGTCCCTTGGCTCTTTTCTGTTCAGCTCTCTAAGAGAAAGAGATATGGTAAAAGGCCATCCCTCTGACCATGCCCACCTCGCAAGAGCAAGGTCCTGAGTTCGATCCCTGGTACCAAAAAAAAAAGACCATCCCTCTGTTCTGGGCTTTCCCTCCCGTTAGGTTATCCCCTCATAGCCAAAGTGCTGTAGTGGGTAGTTGATGTTACTACTTTTAGATCTTTTATTAAAACCTATGTTTTTACTGAGCAGGGAATGTACTCTGAATATTCTTGCATATCAGTGCCTAGTTTCATGTCTTCTGGGCAATCAGTAAGTGATCAATAAAGCAATGTTGGAGTAAACTGAATAGTCTGTGAGAGGGGATAATGTAAAGAGTCGCTCTGCTCTCTGGTTCTAAATTTTTTAAATTTATTTGGATTATGAATATTATAAACATACATGGTCTGCAACACCCTCCAGGGGTCTTTTTTGGTTCTTTGCTAATTCTTAACCTTTCAAAAATGGCTTCTGTTTTTGCTACACAACACTTGTGGCTGTGGTCCTTGCAGGTGAAGCAGCCCCTCCTGGCAGCTATGGGAACTATGGCTATCCTAATAGTGGGTACAGTGCCTGTGAAGAAGAAAATGAGAGACTCACTGAAAGTTTAAGAAGTAAAGTAACTGCTATCAAATCTGTAAGTACAGAGTAGGACTTATATATATTTTAATTTCTATATGCATATACGCTTGTCAGTTATATACTTTTATTGAGATCATAATTTTTAAAATTTAGCTACTTAAATGCTATGGTTCAGTGAGGTCAAAATGCACTCAAAATTTAGACCATACTTTAGGTATGCTAGAAAATGTAGCAAATCAAAAGATACTTTGGTTTAATGTTTTTCTTAAACTCCAGTTGCTGTGTATTACAATCTAAAAAACACTCTATATTGTTTCCACTTACATCACGTCTGAAAAAGAACTGTCCTACTGTCCCCACGTAGCTGTTCTTTTTCTCTAATTTCCCAAGGTACAAATACATTTTAATCTTTCTTTTTTCTACCTTTGAAACTCATTTCAGTCTCTGAGACTGTACATTCTCTCATGTTTCTCTCTCTACATTTCTGTTTCTAAGACTACCCCTTATTTTCATAGGTGAACCATTGGGAAAGTCTCTTAGTTCTGACCTAGGTACATCCTGTTATCTTTGCAGAATATTTAAAATTGCATCCTGCACTCCAAGAAGTCTCGTATCCTCCATGATTTAACAAACTTCACACCCTATAGCGTGATCAGATAAGTCTTTCAGAGATTGGCCCCAGTTTCTCAGACCTTCCCCGCTTCCAGAATCTGTATTGCTTCCTCAGACGAGTGAGTGAGCTCTTTGTGTCCTCTGCAGGCTGTTGCCGTCCCATCCCCCATGTTTTGCACTGTCCCTTTGCCTCAGTCATCCTCTTCTTCTTACATTGACTGAAGCCCTGCTCATCCCAGAAGGCCCTACGTTGTTGCATCCTCTCTCTCCTAAGCTTGCTGTCGACTCCATTCAAAATTCCATGCTATGGCATAAAACCACTTATATCATTTCTGTACCATTTATTGCATATTCATTGGCATTATTTGTATGTAAAAGAAACCTGAATGTGAAGTTTTGTCTTGTACTTTCTTTTATATTCTGTATAGACCCTAAAATGATTCTTTATTAGTGGTATTAACTGAGTAAATTTGTATTTGATAAAGGGATTACACACCAATGACTTTAAATAGTGTGTGATCGATTCTGTATTGTAGTACATATGCTATACACTTGCAAAGCATTCAGTAGAAACCCATGTTGCCAAAACTTAATTGGTATTGCATTACAGTCTTCGGAAAATCAAATTGTATTCAGCCTGGAAACTTGTGTTCTAAAATAGCATTGTTTCTAAAGTGATATTATATCAAAAGGAGTAGATCTATGAACCTAGTAATAATTGTATGATGTTAATAATTTGGAAAATATAACATTTGGAAGGATATGGGAATTAAATGCCTTTTTAAAACAACAAAACCCCAGTGTTGATCACTGAGACATTTTAGAAGAAAACTGTGATGTCTTGGAAATCTTTTTCCTTTCCATTAATGACATTTGTTGGAAGTAGTTGAGTGATTTGGGCTATCTAGCTTTATTATCTGATTTGTTAAATTTTGGAAGAATACTCGTGTTCTGATCTACTGCATTCTAATATGGTTATTATATCAATATTATGTCATATGCTTTCCACACAAATTAAGTTGAGAACAATAATTGTAATGACTTGCTAAGACTGTTGATTGCATTTATTCAGTATCTTGGAATTGAAGGCTTTGAAGAATTTATAGTATAAAGTATTAGGTTTTAGTTTATACCACAGCCATAATTACTTATTCTTTTGTTTCTTATAGGCTCAGGTTCTACGCTGCATTACTTTCAGATGTAGATAACATTAACTTGTTAAATTTATTTTCAGTTTATCATAGAGAAAAATTATCTTAAAATTCTACAGGTACAAACAGCCAATGATAAATGTAAATGTATTGCATACCTAAAATGTACCAATAAAAGAATAAAAAAAATTCTAATTAAGTTTAGACATATATTCAAAGTAATATATTTAATTAGGAAAATATTAAGTACTTATATCTGGATTTGAATTAGTCATATGGGCACTTCTATATCTTCTAAGATATAAGGAGGAAATATATAGGTAAATACTTTTGTACAAATAAAATACAGAACAAAGCCTGCAAACATAAAAGGATCAGAGCATTTACTAAAATTAAGTCAGAATTGATTAAACAATGAGATTAGAATGGAGAGAAAATATTCACAGGAGTAGAAATTCTAAAATTTATTTTCCATTTCAGTAGACAAAGTATTAGAATAGATTATATTTAATATTTCTAGAATATAGTTTCATTTGAAAAAATGCACATGCTTACATGTGGCATTATTATTTTTACTTTATAACACTCAAATACTTTTCTATGAGTATTAATAGATATACATTTTTCTTTGTAGCTTTCCATTGAAATAGGCCATGAAGTTAAAAATCAAAATAAATTATTAGCTGAAGTGGTAAGTAATTATTATTTAAACTTTAAGATATTTGACCTAATATTCTCACATGTAACAACTGTTAACCAAAAATGAGTAAAATTTTAACTTTTATCCATTTTGAAACAGATTTAGAGATTATAAATCATAGATCCCCATCCATTTGTATCTAATCAATTTTTCATAGCTGTAAGGTTTATTTTTTGCATTTTTTCATCTTTCTTAGCAAAACCTTCATAGATCTCAGTCGCCTGAGAGCCCTTCATTAAGTGAGAGCTATATATTAACTTTTTTTGTTAGAGCCTTCTTGGTTCACTAATGTTTATTTTGGACGTCAAACTTCTCTGGTCATTTCCTTTTTTCTCTACATATTTTAAAAATTGTACTATTCCAAAATCAGTATGGAACTGACTAAGCTTTTTACTAGAATTACCAAGAGAACTCTTTGAAAATGCACATGCCTATTTTTCACTCTAAGTAAAGGACTGTAATTCAAAATTTGAAGGGGAGGGCTCAAGCATATATATTTTGAAAAAAGCTTCCTGGGTGATTGTGATGTATAATCCTGGTGAAGAACCATAAATTTAAAGTCTATGAACTGCACTGAGATTGAGCTATGCAAAAATCTCGTATTATACCGAGATCTTTTCATCTCAGGATATTGAGATTTCTTTGAAAGTGTAATATTTCTAATGTGTACCTGGTCTTTTTATCTTAAGGACTTCTCCAACTATGTTTTAATATGGTGGTTTTTCTTTGTTCCTATTTATAACCCTTACCACATTTACCACCTCCACATGATACTCTTAGCTTTTAGTGTAGACTCTGTTGTACTTCAGAGTTGGCTATCTAAACCAGTGTGTCTAAGAATAAAGGGATGGGGCTGGGGATTTAGCTCAGTGGTTCCACTGCCTGCCTCACAAGCGCAAGGTCCTGAGTTCGATCCTTGGTACCAAAAAAATAAATAAAAAATAAAGGGATGTTTAACTGCTAAATGTATTAAATTTTGGATGAATTCCTTTACTGGTAGCAATCAACTATTTGACCTTGGAAAGCAATGTCACAACAAAAACAGAAAGTTGTGTGGTACTATACAAAGTACTGGCCTTTCTTGTTAATGTTTTTTCATGCATATAATTGGAATAAATAGTTTGAGTGTTTGAATTTCTCTGTGATTGAAAGAAATGTTTAAATTGGATAGTAAAAGAGCTTTTTATTCATTGAAAGACTTGGTTTACTTTGCATAGAGTACTCAGGGTGATTGCCAAAGTTATAAATAGGCTCCTGAATTGATTAAATACAAAACTGTCATTAAAAATGTACCCTAATAGCAGTACATTCAATTACTTGAATGTACATATGTAGAATATTAGAGTGTAAATATGATATTTTCCTTACTCTCTTATAGGACTCACAATTTGATTCTACAACTGGATTTCTAGGTAAAACTATGGGAAAACTGAAGATTTTATCTACCGGGAGCCAAACAAAGCTGCTGTGCTATATGATGCTGTTTTCATTATTTGTCTTTTTTGTCATTTATTGGATTATTAAACTGAGGTGATGCAGTTAGGTGTGCATTTGGAATTTGTTCTAACCAATGGCTTGATATCATTTTGATAAAAATCAGCATCAGGACATTCCTAATTTTCAAATTGTATGGCCTTTTCCATTGAAAATTTCAGTGCTCTTTGAATATTATTTCTTATTGACTCATTTAAACTCCTATTTTCAGGGGTTTTGAGATGGCCTGGAGTCAGTGTAGCTCTACTAGTTTTTTTCCATTGTTTGCTGTCAGATTAAATAGCAATCTAATATCCTGTTGCTACCATAAATAGAGGTTTAGGTTCCATTTAAGGAAACTAGTGGGAGAGGACTAGAATCCCTGGAGAGCCTGATTCTGAGCTCTTAAGTAGGGAGCCCACCTGTGATGGAATGGTAATTGTGTTTTCCTCAGCTGTTACCAGATGTGATGGTCTGTTCCAGTGGTGGCGAACCAAGGGAAGTATGCTGTAGCAGGGCTGTTTGTATCACTGTAAGCTCTAAAAGGTTCATCATCACTGGTCTCTTCCTCCATCCTCCCTCATTTGGTTACATTTGGAGCCCAATTTCTTTTTACCTGAAATCTTAATAATATTTGTTTATATAACTCCTCTTTTTCTCCAGTGGCCTCCTTCTTTAATAAAGCTTTTTATTTTCACATATTTCTAATAGGGCTCAATACATCTGTGTTATCAGTGTAGTTATTTTATAAATTCCATTGATGTGATTTTTAATAGTTTTATGATTTTAACTAATTAGGTGGTCCATTTGATTATCATTTGTGACAATAATGTGAAATTAAGTAATTGCTAAGCTCTGGGGGAGAATAAAGTGTTGAAGCCAAATTAATTGTGTTTTATTATGTGCTCTAAAGAGTGAAAATACTCAGGCACTGCACTTGGAGTTAAAAGGATTGTTGCTTTAATCCATTTTTTCCTTTCCCTTTTTTCCCTTCCCCTACCCCTCCCAATTCCCTTGCTCTTTTAGACCTTTTCTTCCTGTTACACAATATCAATTATACATTTTTTAAATTACATTATTAAGATCTAGGAGACATTACTACAGATTTTACAGAATTTAAAAGGATATAGAAAGCATATTACAAAAATCTTTTTTGGAATAAATTTGACAACTTCTAAGAAGTACCTTGGAAGACAATGAAACTAAATCTGGAGGAAATATAAAATTTGAATAGC